CTTAAAATTCAAAATGTGATGTAATTAATTATAAATCAGAAGCAATATGTGCCTCAGATTATCGAGGGTCTCACACTTCCGAAGTAGCGATCTAGTATCTCAACAAAGTGATGGATAATTTCAAGTATCTCCAGTTCATTGTCATCCTGGTCAATGCACATGCAGAAATAAAGGCTGGCGTACCTGCAGAATATATACAGTAGGAGAGCATTTTAACTACACGTGCAAGCAGGAAGAGTACACTTGCGTGGTAAGGAATTATATCGCAAGGTATAGAATATAAGAAACACACATGACCTCTTGTAAACAACTTTATATCCCCTCCACTCCACAAAATTGCAGAGCTTGGGACCTCGCGTGAGAATCATACCACTTAACTCCCGGATAACCTTTACCAAGATCAGATCACCGCATATGAGTTTGATAACAAAGTAGCAGTTCGGTAGAACATATGATACAATGAATACGGTTGATTAGAAAACATTATAACAAAAATCACGAGTGTGATCAACAAAGAGAAATCAGAGCATAATAAGATCCTCAGAGAAAAGAAAAAGATTAGAAATAGAATAGAGTCTAGACACATACACACACACCAGACAAAATCTAAAATCAAATTGCAGAAACTTTTACCTTTGTTCTCTCCTTTTGAGAATAAGGTGAGTACCATTTTGTGAGCCTAACTTTGCCTTGTCTGCTGATGAGAAGAACAAAGTGAATCTGGAAAAAGAAGAAGCTTTAGTCTCTAACTGTACAGAAGAAACAAAAGCCTAACGCAGCACAACACAATATGATTTAAAGATAAAATGGCGCACCAACGAAATCAAGAGTGAACACCCAATCTGAATGCCCGATTACCAAATGGATTAAATAGGTAGAGTAATTGTGGAACCAATATTAGGCAGCGGATCTCATAAACAGGAATTTCACGACAAAGGCTTATAGTGCGCGGATCTAATCGATCGGACAAAACCCAAGCATGTTCATCACACACAATACATGGTTGCATAAGAAAATTAAAAGATGAGCATTCCTTTGTAGACAACGGAACTTAAGATTGGTATGGAAAAGGTTACCATAGCCTCAGCGAAGCTGCTGCTGATTATCTGATACGGTGAATCACCGAAAGTCGTCTTCTTCTAGCCAGCTATGGTCGATTGAAATCGAAATGATAACGGACTTGTTTTGTGCTTATTCCGCTGTGAATCAGACTTTAAGAATAATGGCATGATACGAGAATTCTTACGATTTTTATTCAAATATACAAATAACATTAATCATAATTTACTTATTATTCTCAAAATTGAACTCGAGGACAGTTCAACTTACAACCACGGACCGAACTGCTCCTGGACCAACTCGAACCGTCCGTGATTTTATCCGGGCCTGTTTCGATTCAAAAATTTACAAATTTTGAACTAGCTTCATACCGACGGTTCAACTTTTTTTTTTATGAATTTTTTATTATTTTTTTAATAAATTGGACAGACCCGGAATCGCCAATTCATTGAACCGGCCCATATATGTTCCAGAGCCGATTCATATTCCCCTAACCAAAAAAAATATGAGGCCCGGAACTGGGTTTTGGCCATGTTTGACCAGATGGAATAGGAACTAATTTATTGACCGGCTCGATTTGCTTGAATAAAATGTTTGTTACGAATCGGTCAACACCAGCCGATCGAACTTGTAGGATCGGTACGAATTTTTAAATAATTTTATTACAATTAATATCATTTCTCATAAAAATACAATTTAAATAAAATGGAGAATTATAAAGTATTTATCAATTAGTTTAAACATTTGAAAATTTTAAATTGTCCATATATTTAATTGGCGAGATAGCTATGTTCACTCCGCTCTGAAGAGAAATAAGTTTTTCAAACCATCAAATAATAAATTAACATTTACCCCCCACAAAGTTGGAAACAAATTATGCGACAGATAATTGATAGAATATAAGTGCGTAATAAATTATACCATACGCGACAAACAGACGAAGATAATCAATATAGTGCGAAAAATTATGCGATAGACATTCTAAGACAATTGATAAAATGTGAAACAAATTATATGATAAACAATGCGACATACTATCGAAGATAATTAATATAGTGCGAAACAGATTATGCGATAAACAATGCGACATACAAACAAAGATAATTGATAATGTGCGAAATAGATTATGCGATAGACAGACGAACATAATTGATAAAGTGTGAAATATTTGTGCGACAATTATGCGAAAGGGAGGGGTAGATAATTGTTAAATGCATAATATTTATACGATAAACTACGCGGCAGACAAGTTAAGATAATTGATAAAGTGAAAAAAAATTATGTGATACGAGATGCGTTAGACAGACAAAAAGAATTGAGAAAGTGTAAAACAAATTATGTCATAAACAATAAGACAAACAGGCATCATAAGAGGGAAAACCCAAATGAAGCTTAAGTGAAGTTCCATCCCAAAACCAATTGGTGGAAGGAGGAATAGCTCATTAGACTTATAAATTAGGCCTATTTTCCCTATATAAACGATGTGGACAACTCACAAGTGAATATTCTAATATACCCCCTCACTTGTGAGTCCTTCATAAGAAGTCCAAGCCCTATTAGAAACGAGCTTGGGAAACGGGTACGTCATCGCACTGTCCCACATAGAACCGGTTCTGATACCATGTAAGAAACGGGGGGAAAACGGGTGCAGTCCCAATAGAGCCCAAGTGAGGTTCTTTCCCAAAACCAATTGGTGAAAAAAGGAGTAGCTCATTAGACTTATAAATTAGTCCTATTTTACCTATATAAACGATGTGGGACAACTCGCAAGTGAATATTCTAATAAGTTCAAATGATCATACATCACCACTTTATATAAAGGTGTTACCTTGTTATCCAGTACTACCCGATTGGACTGCCCGAGTGCCCGAGCTACTTGTTCGTACTGCTTGGGTGCTCAAACTACCCAATTCTATTAGCTGGGTTAGAGCCCTTTCTTGAGATCTTGCATGCTGCTAAGATGCCCAAACTATCGGTTTCTATTAGCCGACGTGGTTCTATCCATGTGTTCTTCTTATCTTGATTATACCCTTTCTTATTTAATGTATTCACATTAGTCTATCTCATTCGGTGGTCTAATTGTACTACCAACTCGATTTTTCTTGAACTAGGTTGCTCCGACATTTAGCGAACAAGCTTATCTCTTAGGCCGTACATCGATCTGTTGACCTACAAGTCGAGTTTCTATCAGACTAGTCGAGAGTCCTACTTCGACCTATTGGCGAGCTATCTTACTTAGATTGTTATTATCAACATGTTGTTCCCACAACCTCTGATGTTTTTGTTGTCTGACCGGGTCATCCTATTCGATTAGTTTGCTTTTTAAGTCTACCGCCTTCCGAGTCACCCTATTCAATTAGACCGCTCTTTACTTCGTAGACGAATTGTACAACGAGAAAAACGAATTGAAGGGAACCGAATAGGGCTCCCGTTTGTTTTGTAGCTCCACTAATAAATTAATCAGTGAAGGAATTCTTAAGGGCGAATCAGTTGTAGTGAGCAAATCTCGAACGCCCTTGTGGTCGCCACAGGTCGTCAATCTCATTCCAATTTTCTCTTCATCATCTCTCTCTCTATATATAATATATACTATGTCCCTATACTTGATTGGGCGTTATTTCCTATGATTCGTTTCAACTTGTTCTATCAGTTTAATACCTGTTTTTTTTTTCCTTGTTCATCCTCTCTTGCGTTTTGTTCTTAGCTTGCGTTTCTCCGCTATTTTCTCATCTTTTTCCCTTTCTGTTGGAAGGTAAGTTGACAGTTGAAATATGGATCTTTTGGTGATAACATCATTTCTAGGTTTTGTATTGTGCGTGTTAATTGTTGCGCCTCGTATTCGTAAATCTGGTTAGTATTTTGTGCCCATTCGCGTAACGTTAAAGTTAACTGTTTGTGGTGTTCCTCTATTTCTCAGTTGATTGATTTAATTTGATGGGTTGCAGATAATGGGAAACTGGTGAAGTCTCCTGTTAGTGCCAAGGTATTTGATACTTGCTTTGCTGCTTTTGAATGTCCATTTATCATATACTCCCTCCTATTCATAATAAGTGTTGAAGTTGCACATTAAGAATAATTTTTTTGTCAATAATAACCCTCATTAATAAAGATAGAGATGGATGCTTTAAATAAAAAGATGAAGAGAATATGGAAAAACGTAGTGTATTTATTAACTAAATGAGGGTTAATAATGAAAAAATATGTACAAAATATCCAAAACGATATTTATTTTAGTTAATAGTTGATAAAGCCAAAATGACATTTAAAAAGAATATGAGGTAGTATATTGTATTATTTGTCAACACAATATTCCTCAAGTTCCAAAGGGACAAGTGGTGAAATAAAGCTACTAACAGTTGTAATTTTATGTGGCTTTGATCTGACACAATACCTGATAACCAATGTGAGGTGTAAAACTCAAATGTAATGTTGGCAGATAGGTACAGCAAATTTTAATAATTAAATATTAATTCTCAAGGTTTGAAATGTTTTCTGTAACTTTCCCCCATTAATTCTGTTTCCACCCCAGTTGTTGAATTTATCATGCGAATTTTTGAGGATATTTTCCGTTTTTGAATCTGTCTGTTTAGGCGTTGAAAGTGTACACCAAAGACGAAGTTTCATTGCACAACAGAAGGACCGACTGTTGGATTATCATTAAAAATAAGGTTTCTCTAAAATTCAATGTGTATATTCTGGCAGTACTTGTGAAATGAAATAAAATGTGTATATAAATAATAAAGCTTTTTTTTGAACAATTTCTTCTTTGTGAAGGTTTATGATGTCACCTCTTATGTAGAAGAACACCCTGGTGGTGATGCCATCCTGGCACATGCTGGCGATGATTCTACTAAAGGTTTCTTTGGGTAGGTCTTGTTTACCCTGTTCAATTCTTCGTGTGTGTTTTTAGCATTGTCTTGAAAAATATTTTATCCAACAGTTTAATGAGCCCTCTTAACTCACTTTTGCCTCGTTTAAAACTGTGAACTTTATCAGGTGCTCTTTTGGTTAAATGAATAGTAACTTAATGCAATACATTTCATGTCGACAGGCCACAACATGCTACCCGCGTCTTTGACATGATTGAGGACTTTTATATAGGAGATTTAGTGAAGTGATTATGATTATTATTGTTAGTTCGATTGGTTCATGCGTCAAGCCCCATAAATTTTGAATTAGAATGATGGCATTTTGTTTTGCACTATTGAGTAATTGTGTGATCATTGGATGAATTGACAGACAACTTGTAAACTCATTAATTGCATAATATCTCCATTTGGGGTAAGCTAGTCTGAACAAGAATATTTATCCTTACTTATTCTCGGTCACAAATGCACGTCGTTTATCTAGTTCAAGGCCATCTGCTACTGGCATTGCACAGACTCATAGATTTTGCATGTTTTCTAGACTGCTGAGAGATATCCTAATGGATTTTCAGTTATGATATGTTTACATGAGAACTGTACACTTGTATTTTGGTGAATGAATAAATTGTCGAGATGGTTTAAGGAGCTTTATACACACAGCACATAGTAAAATTGAATTTGTGCGATATGCCTTTGGTGCGAATATCACGGGTCTAGTTATGGTATATTCGTTTCATCATAAAGTTCTGTGATTTCGATGTAGAAGTTTTTTCGTGGACATGCTTTGTCTCCTGAATTTGAATGAGCTAGCCTGATCAAATTTGAAGAGTTCTCTATTTTTATCATATAAATTCTTTTCCGTAGTTAATTGCGAAACCCCAGTTGCCTTAACGAGCTAAATAAATTGTCATAGAATTGAACACGATAAAAGAAATAACATCTCCATGAAAATGTCAAACAACTT